TCGGGTCGGGTTGACGCTCGCGTTTAGCTGAGTTCTTGCAGGGTCTTTAGCATGGCTTTACAGTGCTTGCATGGTCCAAGCCTCGTCCACATTGCCAGGAAATCTGATTGACATAGCGTCTACAGACCCAACCGAAACGTCTGAGTCCTGGTCCTGAGATGCCACGAGTGACCAATGGCCCTGTGATCCCACAAATCTACATTCCACTCCAAACAATCCGACACCGTTTGCTATTCAGGGCAGCATCGTAGTAGTTAGTCAAGTCTCGAGCTATATCGTCTGCGACAGTTTGATTTTCCAAACTTCTGCAAATCAGTGCCTCTCATATTGTCATAAGTCTAGTCTACTCCAGGGCTACCTCATCTGAAGGAAGGGTTCTGCGGAAAGGTCTGTACGAAGGTTATCTGGAACGCACCTTCTCCAGCAGCTCAGTGTGAGCACGTGTGCGTGTGTGTGTGTGTCTTTGTGTGTGTGGGGTAACTGAACTAATATACCTGTAGTGGTTTGGGAGCTCCTTGTGTATTTATGGTATAATGGGCCCAAACCCCTGTTCAATCATTAAGGCCCCTATATTACGGTCCAGAGTCCTGGCCTGGGTCCTGCCAGGAAGCTCCGCAAGCAATGCGATCTCCTAAAAACCTCCAAAGGACCCCTAAGTCACTAAAGCCTAACCTCAAACCCTGAGCCCTGAAAACCCTCAACTCTGAACCCTCAACTACTGACACCCTATATAGTATACGGGCCTCAGTAGTTAAAATAGGCTTTTGGGCCCATTCTTCTATAAAGCCTCAAATAGTATTGGCAATGATTATGGCCCCTATATTATAGTATTGTAGTACCCTTATAGATCCCTTGTAGTAACCTTTATAGACCTCTTGACAGGAACCGCCCTACCCCCTAAACTACTGAAAACCATGCATTCCCTGAAGGCCCGGAAGCCGAAAGCCCCGCTTGGCCACGCCTCCGGCTCCGTCGGTTCCGGCGCAGGGTTGGCCTGCTGCGGGCTCTGGGCTTCTTGTTGAGGCTTTAGGGGCTTATAGGGGCTCAGGGGTTTAGGGGTTTAAGGTTTCTAGGTTTAGGGGTTTAGGATTTGAGGGGGGGGGTTTAGGGTTTTGAATCTTGGAATTGCTGGAAAGCTGTGGGACCAGGCATCCTGGTCTTGGGGCACAGGGGCAGGAACTCGAAAAGTTGTAACTATGATCTTGTCATTCATGATGGCGCCGGATGAGAGAAGGGTAGCCCTTGTCGTGGCTATCCTTCCGTTCTTCTCTCTGCTGTTGCGTTGCTGCTGCAGCTGCCCTTCTACATCCCTTGCGTCTGCGGCAACTCTCTCTCTTCTGCCCTGAGCCGCAGCAGCAACACAACAGCAGCGAGAAGAATGGAAGGATGGCCAGGACGCCTCTCTCTGTCTCTCCCCGCGGTTCATGATAGAACCCACGCAGCTACTTCCCTACACCCCAGGGCCGTGAGGCCCCAGGCAGTGAAACCCTAGTAGACCTTTATCCCAAAAATCTGTAACACCCTCCACCACCCAGCACTCTAAAGCCGCAAAGTGCTAAAAACCCCAACACATAAATACACTAAAACCTGGAGTAACACTGCAGAGCTGTAGCCCGTGCCTCGGCGGGCTGCTGCGCAACGCCACTGCCTGCGGCTCGCACCCCGATGACAAGAAGCGAAGAGGAGACAAACTGCTGTTGCGGGTCCTGGGAGTTCTACTGTATAAACTGCATCTAGACTTCTTTGGGCTTGTTTTGACGTGATCGTGGGCCTAGAAGGGTCAGTTCTCGGCATTTTGTATAATTACAGTCGACAGCCGTCTCCATACAAGCAGGACCTTAGCTTCTGGTCTCTTATGAAACCGGCTGAACCCAATGCACGGTTTTCGTCGTCCGATAGCAGTGCTTGTGGCGATACTATAGGGGCCTTAATAATTAGAACAGGGTGTTGGGGCCCAGTATACCATGACTCTAATAAGGAATCCCCAAACTAGCATGGTAATTATTAAGGCTCCTATAGTACCAGACTGACATCGAGAAAACTACCCAGAAAGCCCAATACCCCGTAACTAAGGAATATGGCTTAAACCATAATATGAATCCCCTTATTATCTGAGGTATATTCCTTAATTAAGGGGTATTGGGCTCTCTGGGTACCACAAAGAGTTGCAAGCCTCAAGGCTTGAAAGGTTTACTTTTCAGGGTTAGCAAGCGGGCTTTCAGGTGAGAGTTTGGGTTCCAGGATTAGGATTGGGCCTCGGGGGTAGGATTAAGGTTAAGGGGTCAGAACTTATATTAACACTGAAGGTCTTGATAGAAGGCGAGAATGACTGCAAATGCCACCCCTTCGGGCTCCTTCTTGTATGTATATTGCAATGTGGCAATATGACATACCCCGAGGCACTACTCAGATGACTAAGATCCCTGGTTCTCGGCACCCCAAACCGACCTACCACTGCGGCGGGCTTCTGCGCTTCCGTGGCAGGCTCGGCCTAGGGAGTCAACAAGTCAAGGTCGGTGTTTGACAGATCCCAGGGCTTTTTTGGGGGGTTTATGGGGTCGTGTTCCGTAGGTCAAGATCCTGGCGTCAACGGTTTCAGGAGGTTGTTTATTGAGGTTGTTTCGGGTTTCAGGGGTACCATTCATGGCTTCAGAGTTCTCGTTTGCTTGGTACCCTTAGGGCAACCTTCTCGTAAACTGCCCTTACAGAAACCCTGTAGTATCCCGTTGAAACACCGTCTGATTCTGAACGTCAGTTTGTGGATCGCGCGCTTTGGAGATTGAGCTGTCCAAGCTAGGGGGAGACGGCGGCAGCAAGGGTCATGAGAGGATGAGTTTTCGATCATCTGATCTCATGATACGGTTCCTCTTGTACGAGATTCTCTAATATTGGTTTTGGGATGAGCAGCTCCGTTTCACAGGGGTTATCGGATGGCGGGCTTGAGGTTTGGAACTCCGCATCACATTGGGCTTTAGAGCGCAAGCCTGCAAGTCCTCAGCGACCATAGCGATTCTGTAGCCAACCTACTGACCAGGGATTCTCAGCATTCGTACTGTTTTTCTTGCGTGCAAGTCGTGCATAGTACAGTTGTAGCTGATGGACACGAGGAATTGGAAGCACGTGATGGAGCTGTCAATCCAGGACTGGGGTGTCCTACTTCCTGTCTCACTGCATCTAAGGCTTCAAATCAGCCGCTGACTGTGGAATCATACGGATTGCAACTGTGGGAGCGCCATGGCTTCATCTCCAGCCGTTTCAGCTGAGAGTGACGCCTCCTCTTCGTGATCGGCGCTCGCCATGCTGCAAGGCACGGAGGAGATATATCGAAACCCACTTCTTATCTGGACTAACTTCCGCTTCCCACACCCCGAAGCTAAAGCGAAGCCCTGAAGGCCCGGAACTCCTAAACCCTAGAAGGCCACGTAGGCCCTAACAGCTCGATCCTCGGACTCTTCTTTGCTCCGGGATCTTTGGAGACCGCTTGGATTCAGCCATGGGGAACAGACGCATGCCCGACGCGTTTTTCCTAAGCGTTGGCTGCTGAGCCGAAAGTTCCACAACGTAGTCAGGTTAATGATCAAAGATATCAAGAAACCCCCTGAGGGGAGTGTGCAGGCGTTGCATGTCGGTGCTCGAGGATGTGGCTGCGGCTGGATGACAAAATCCGCCGCTGAAGCCGGATCTTGCCTGCACTGCGAGGCCTCCGTATTAGTGTCAAGAATCCGCATCTCGGCGTCTCGGAATTTGTAAGTTTCAGCCTGAAGCTTCCAAGGTTTTGGCTTCAGGGGTTAGGGGCTGAGGGCTTTTGGGGGTTGGGGCTCAGCGTGGCACGTCTCCCGGCCGCTATTTTCATGCAGCGAAGCATTTGCACCTTCTCTTCGAAGGTTCAACAGGACGCGGACTGTTCTACTCCGAAGCCCTCAACCCAGGTCATACCAGAGACATTGCGCTAACAGCTTTGGTTCCGAGATGGTTGTTCGAAATTATTGGGGCGCTAGAGGACCCGAAACCCCAAACCCCTATTTCGGCTCCTGGGCTAACACTTTGACCCGAAACCTTAACCTATCGGGCCTTCGTGCTCCGCCTGAGAAATGCTCCATCACTGGGCTCTGCAGGAAGTCTTTTCGTAAGTTCTTGGGCTGCTAGCAATTTAGGATTCCTTGAAAGCAAGCAGGTATCCTGAAGAGACTCCCTGTCTTCGAGGCCGTAAACAGGAGACCCCACAGAGCTGTCACCAGGAACCTTCGGGGTGATCCCATTCTTGACACTTCTGGATGTCTCCATGGGGGTCTCCGCTTCAGGGCACTAGAAAATGTCATGGCCACATATGGACCGACTAAAAACCGCAAAGGTGTGCCCATGCAGGCAAAGGTCTTCTTTACATCCTTGCAGGAAGCCTGTGGAATCGAATTCCGGCCCAAGACCACGCAGGGTAGGGATATTATCCATAGAATACGTTCACCGAACGAGACATCGCAAGCAAATTCATCGCTCAGGGCTGGATTTCGACAGGCCCCACGGCCAAAAATGCGTCCGAGGTGCCAGCTTTGTTTGTAGCCTCTCTTGGGCGTAGCCTCCTCTGACTTCTGTGAAAAGTTGAAACTGCGACCACAGACCCGCACAGGAAACTCCTCTAACAATTCAAGTTTTTCGGATATCCAGAACTTCATACCTTTTCGTCGGAAAGCTTGGAAGACCCCTAAGGAACTGCAGCCTTCGGGGTCAAAAGATCGCACTGCACGTTGCAGAGGACGATGGCTACCGAAAGCCAGCGAGGAATCGGAGGATCAGCGGCCTCTTTCTTGCAGTGCTTCGCTTTCCAAGGCATCGAGATTTCGGGAGCTTGGGCTATCTACTATTGATGAGAAACATCCTGCATTACCCATAATAAGGAATATACCGTAATTACCATAGTTTAAGGTAATGCAGAATTTAGATCATCGACCGTGTGCCAGAGATGTAACGTACATGTACGGAACACGGAACTCCCCATCACAGCCTCAAGGGCCTCGCAAACCCAAGGATGATCCAGAGCTGAGCAGCAGAAGCCACAGCCGCACTCCGGTGCTTCTGAACGCCCCACCTAGGCACGCCCGGCGGAGGATCATGGGACTTAGAAGTACATCTACAAGTACCCTATATGGAGTTATGAGTAATTACCACTCCAGCTCCCATCTATAAGTATCCTGAATTGAGTTATGAATATTTATCACTATAGCTACCTTGGCTATAAGTGGCTATAAGTACACTCACTGGAGTTATGACTAATTATCACTATATACTTACTTCATCTATACCCCTAAACCCCAACCCCTGAACCCCTAAACCCCCAAACCCCTAAACCCCTAAACCCTAAACCCTAAACGCCTAAAGCCCGAAGCCCTCAACCCCTATACCCTAAACTCTAAAGTACTACCAAGTCCTAGGATGCTCCAAGCAGGCGGGAGCTTGAAGGCTCCCCAGTGTCCTTCACCGGATTGCGATCGACTCCCTGAACTCACATGGGAAAAAATATGTTCCTGTAAAAAGTTATTATAAGGGTACTATAAGAGTTCCTTTAAAGGGCTCTATATAAGCGTTTAGAGTTTCTGAAAACTAGGGGTACCTTATTTTCGAGTCCTTATAATAAGGATCCTACTATTTAGGGGACTGTATCTAGGGTCCCTTTTGGGTACCTAAACATGAAGTGCCGTATTGCATCAAGGACGCCAAGAAGGGACCCTAATCATATGACATAGGGGCCTTAAAAATTAGAATAGGGTTCCCTTTAAAGGGTAGCTTACAGGGGTCTATAAGGGATCTATAGTAGGGTTCTAAAACATAGGGGCCCCAATAACCAGAACAGGGTTTTGCGGGCCACTATACAATAATTATAATCAGGAACTCCCAAAAAAGCATTGGCAGTTATGAAAGCCCCTATATTATGCGACATAATGCAACGACATGTGGTCTGGAGGATGCTGTGATCCAGTCGCACGCGTATAGGCCCGATGTAGACAGACATACTTCGGATGAATGCCGTTCTCGCTATACTTCTACATACAGTGATTACTCTTCGGTGTTTGATGAAGAGTCCTCTGCGTCAACGCGATCTGTATAGTACACGGCCTTGCGGGTTACGCCAGAATGTTGCGTTGAGCAGGCATAGGGACCGTAAGTTCAATGTTTCAAGGCGCTCTACACGAATCCTGCGAATTTCCAAGGATGTATTTGCTCTTCTAGTGCCCACTTCGCTCGAAAAAACATCCGAGGTTGTAAGCGTTGCAATCTTGACTATTGTCTGAAACATGCTGAACCTCAACATTAGCATTGGGGGTGTCTGGACAATTCCCACATCACTAAACTGAAGAAAAGCAATCCTTCAAGCCAAAAGCCCAGGGCCCAGGCTAACGCGAGGTACGTGCTCCCGGCGAAAGGCTAATCCCTGCGCACGCTGGCATGGCGCGTCCAACACACACGCACACACAACGCCAAGGCAAGGATTTCTCTACTACTAGTAGCCCATACAAGTAATCTCTGTGACATGCAGACAAGACCACCAATCTCTTCCAAATGTTGCTTTGTTGCATGATGTCCTCCATGGGCTCTTCATGCTCTTCAATGGGCTCCATGGGCGAACCACGGAGCCTCGGCTGTGCTTCGATAGACCTTTTGTATAAATCATTCATTAAAGCAAACAGAAACATCAAACTGCAAGGTGGTGGTGGTGGTGGTGGTGGTGGTGGTGGTGGTGGTGGTGGTGGTGGGTAGTGGTGCTGGTCGTCGTCGTCGTAGTAGTAGTTGTTGTTGTGGTTTCAGTATCAGCGGTGAAGTTGTAGTATGAGCGTTGGGGAGGAGGAGCAGGAGGAGGAGGAGGAGGAGTCGTAGGAGGAAGAGGAGGAGGAGAGGAGGGGGACGAGGAGGAGTAGGAGCGACGGGAGTAGCAGTAAGGTTGAAAAGAAATAGCAGCAGCGCTCAAAACGACACATGCCCGAAATAAACATGCTCAGAACGGAGCACAACTATACAGATATATCATGTTAATATGTTCAGGGAACACCAGGCGGTACCAGATACTAGTTACTCCGACACCTATATTCGTCTTTTACCAGCAGGTCCATGGGGGAAGGCTAATGCCACATTTAAGGTTGGCTGTACTCCTGAAACCCACGTGAGGTTAGTATTATATTGTGCTATACATACTATTGCATACCACACCACACCACACTAGACCAGCCTGGACTGCACTAAACGATACAGCACTGTGCTGCTGCACCTGAAATTGTTTTCCCTTCTGATCTCTTCGAGCAGCCGCGGAGCTGCCTCCCCTTGTCGAGGAAGCTGAGCTCGTACACTTCCCCGGCCGGAGCATGCATTGCGCTGACGAACTGCCTCCCACTTGCACCGGGCAAGGGGATGTGCAGACGCTGCTTGCTAGCGTGATATGATACTGCGTCGTCGTGCTTGCAGACTGCGCGGTCTTGCCCGGAATCTTGGATCCACTAGCTAGTGGAACTTCGCATGAAACATGTCCAAGACAGAGCGAGCCTCACGCTCTACGTGCTGAGACAGGAAGCTCGTGCGTGCGAGACTAGAGCCCCGAAGTAGCACGGAACCTGAAGCCCTCAACCATCTCTGAAGAAGAACCGGTCTTAGCTTTCTGAAGGCTCTTCAGCTTTAGCTCTCAACACCTCGCAGGAATTGCTGAAGACCGGGCCTAAATCTGCCAATCTCCCGCGGCGTCAGCAGTGTGTCGGTGATCCGCAGGTAGGTCAAGGAGTGAAGGTCATCCTGAAGCCGCACGTCGCGGTTTTGAGCAGCGGGATTCCCGGGGTTGGGGCCGTGAGCCCTGCTTCTTCCCTAAGACTCCAATATCCTTTAGTTAAGGAATACTCCTTAAATCGCATTCAGGATCCTACTTTAATTTAAGGTATATTCCTTAATTAAGGGAAATTCCGCAGATCGCAATCAGGATCCTATAACAGTTCAAGGTATATTCCTTAATTAAGGGATACTAGAGTCTCTGGGTTCCCATCAGGCAGGCAAGACTTGAAACTGGACCTGACCCGGTGTCATCAAACTCGCTAAAGGGGGCCTTAGGGTTTTGGGTGCCGTTGTACTATACGTATAATCAGGACCCCTCCCCCCAAATAGTATATTGGTAACTATTTAGGCCCCTATATTACTCTCTGCCCTCGCGGGAATCTGCCCGGGTCCAATGGTGTTGGACGCTGATGTCTCTTAGCGCAGGAGAAGACAGACAGACCCGAGACGCTCATGGAAAGGAAGCGCAGAAGCATGCGTAGCATGCGTGGCGATGGGGAGGAAGAGACATAGCCGTAGATACGTGGAGAGTAATCTAGGGAAACTAAGAATTACAACGGGGGTTCGGGGCATAATATTAAATTGCACCCCACACCCCCTACTCTCATTGTTTATCCGATATATCGGATAAATGAGAAAAGCACAAAGGCGCAGTATAGATAGAAACATATTTCGGCCCCTACACTAAACCCGGATCGCCTTGTACGAAAGCATCTGCTCGTAGGCTCGCTGGTCGTAGCCTGACTCTACAGGAGAGGCTTGCAAACACAAGCCACCGAGGGCGCATCAGACTACGTTGTAGAACACAACTTCGTGGCCTGACTTGCTAGAGAAAAGTCTTTCCTTCCAGGGTTCCCCGTCTAAGCTTGTTTAGGCGGCTACAGTGATGCATCTCGTTTCTGTCATCCTCACACTTCACGTTTCTTTCCACGCTGACTTAAGACATCTTGTAATCTATGTTGCTCGGCTGCAAAGCCCTAAGAAGTCATCAACCGCGAAGCTCGCACTTTCCCGCAATTAATGACCCAGGTAACGCTGCAGAGCGTTCTCGCCAGAGAATGCGATGCCTGCATCCTTTGAGGCCTGCGACAGAGACGGTTTCATGGGGACCCTTATGGGGGGTAGGGAACTGTTCTTCGTGAAGTAAGCCTTATTGAGTCCTTATTATAGGTATTAAGGCCCGCTACCCCCCTCCCCCCATACCCCTCTAGGGGTCCTTATGAGAGAGGGTTTGAGGCTGCAGACTTGGGGTCGTCGTGAGGTCAGCATCCTGTTGTGCACTGTGTTGCGGCTTGTCATCCCTGAACCCCTGTAGCCAATGAACCTACAGAATGCTTGATCTTGATATTCTTAGCGGATTCGGAAAAATTACGTGTTTGGAGAAGGAAGCCTAGTTGTTATTTACACAGGCTTCTAGATCAAGGCCCCTGTAAACCCTGAAAACCTACGGGCACTGAACCCCCATACTCCTATCAACTGGATAATGGCCTGGACATAAGAATAGGGCTTGGGGCACGATAATTGAACAAGGAGCCCAGGATGTTCAAATATTCAGACCTCTGGATCATCGAGACGGTCGAGTAGCGTGAATAGGATTTATTATAGCTCTGTTATAGCTCAACCCCCCTATAACAGCGTAAACTCCCCATAAACCCAAAGCCCTAAGACTTCAATCCCTAAAACCCCTCCTGAACCTCTCCAAAATATACGCCCTGAGCCCCAGAAGTCCTGTAGACCCTCCATCTACCCCCCATTAAACCCTAAATGCCCATTTGGGCCCATATACCCCTACTTGAGGGTACAGGGAGGGTCCTGGTATATAAACCCTATAAACCCTTTTAAGGTTTAGGGTTTAGGACCTGTAAACCCAAATACTGCAGATGGCCTTGATAACCTGTTGCACCAACTCCTGAGGACTGGATGCGGCAGCAGGCGGCTGCTCGCTGTTTCTCCTCAAAACGGCTTTTGAGTTTAGGGTTAGGGTTTAGGGGCCCATTCTTCAATAATGATAATAAGGACCACCAAAAAAAAACAACAAAAATGTTATAGGTAATTATTACGGCCGCTATGTTGCGGTTTGGGGCCCTTTAGGGTTGAGGAGAACTTCTTGGGTAATGGTGGAAGACAAGACGCCCAAAGAGCCCAAGACCACCCCTTATTTAAGGAATATAGCGTAAATAATAAGGGGATTCATATTATGATTTAAGCTATATTCCCTAATCCCCTTAAAGAGTCCCCTGTAAGGAACCCTAGGGTTTAGGTATATTCCTTAATTAAGGGGCGGTCTTGGGCTCTCTGGGGGCCTGGAGCCTTGGAGACCTGGACTCGGACCCGAACTGCGTGTTGTTCTTACGGGGCTTTTAAGTGACCAGGGAGAAAAACTAATAATTGTTTCAATACTCTTTCCTTTAAGAAAAAGAATTAAAGTATGAACTTTTATCTCATATTGGTTCCTTTAAGAACAAACGTTTTAAAGGATGGTACTCCAGAGCCCAGTTTAAGGTTTAGAATGTCATGGGCTTTAGGAGCGTTGGGTGCCAGAGGAGCCTGAGAACATAAACTCGTATTAATAGGGTTTCATCTTCATAAACAAGGCCAATGTAACTTAACGATGCTTTTGAGGTACATTATAGAATAGTTCTCGGGGAACTCTAAAAGGATGTCATGCCTCGATTTCGGGCCGTTGCCCTCCCTGGAATTCGCTTCTTTCATTAGGGTTTGGGGTTCAGGGGCCGTGGTTTAGGGTTTAGGGGTTTAGGGGTTTAGGGTTTAGGGGTTTAGGGGCTCTCAACATAGTGTCGAAGCTGTTCGCGAGCCTGAGAGTTGCTTGAGCTGGAACTCCGGAGCATCCAAACAAGCAATACACCTTGAACTACAACCGAAACCCTGAACCTTAAGCTCTACGTGTAGAATCAAGGATCCAGAGTATTTCAGGCATCTTTCTCAAATAGAAACCCTAAGGGTCCAAGTACATAATAATCATATACTCTCCTAAATATTGAGCTACATAACTACTATCCTTAATCCAAGTACCTAATTAATGGGTCCTTTGGACCCTTAGGGTAAGGGCACTGGGATCTCTGAGGCCATGCGGTTGCGGAGTTTGTTCCGGTGCAGTCGCTGTTGAGGGAACATCCCGCAGCACCCGGAGTCTTGTGAGCTGGTGAGCAGCACAGGGAAGTTTCTGAATCAGCAGCCACACCCCGAACATACACCATAGGGTACGTATATAGTTGAATATGACCCAAAACCCTACTTAGAAAAAGTTCGCAAAAACACTCTTGATATTTTGGCTCTCAACGGTTGACAGCAACATGTGCTTGCCAATCCTAGGCAACTGTGCTACCATAGTCATGTACCCCCCAACCCTGGACACAAAACCCTTAAGCCTGAACCCTAGAATTGTACAGCCCTCAACCCAAAACACCAAACCCCAACCTGTAAAACTTACATAGAGCGTCAAAAACCCTCAGCCCGAAGCCAAGTGTTAGAAATACTAGGTGTTAGAAATACTGGGTATTAGTAGTAGTAGTAGTAGTAGTAGTAGTAGTAGTAGTAGTAGTAGTAGTAGTAGTAGTAGTAGTAGTAGTAGTAGTAGTAGTAGTAGTAGTAGTAGTAGTAGAAGTAGTAGTAGTAGTAGTAGTAGTAGTAGTAGTAGTATCAACTAGTCAACAAAAAGCTTCAGAAATAGTTATGGTAACCACCCTCCCCAACTCTTCGTCTGAGGCGCATCTCCAAGCATGTGAAGTCCAGGACTTGCGCGCCAGAGTCCAGAAGCATCTCGCAGGGGTCCCAGGCTCAAGGAATCAGGGGTTGAGGGTTTAGGGTTCTGGTTTGAGTTTAAGGTTGAGGGTTTATAGGATTAAGGGTTTGGGCTTTTTGTTGAGCCCTCTTTTCTTTTTCTTTCTGCCCGCTTGGGAGTCGGAATTTCAGGGAATCAGGGGTTTAAGGTTGAGGGTTTAAGGTTTGTTGCTGTTGCTGTTGCTGTTGCTGTCGCTGTCGCTGTTGCTGTCGCTGTCCCTGTCGCTGTCGCTGTCGCTGTGGCTGTGGCTGTGGCTGTGGCTGTTGTTGTTGTTACGGGCAGTAGCATCTTAATCATTGAACATTAACGAGATGGGGAGGCACTGTATTTTGGGTCCTTATCATCGGGATGCTACCATTTAGGGTCAACTTGTCGGCTGAAACTCCCATGTTCTAAAGCCGGCTGACATCAGAGACGGCCCATGTTATGACGTGACGTGCAGGGCTATTGCAGACCCTGAAGAGAATGCAATTTTAAACGGGCGAGAAGTGCACGTGAAGGTATGTTCTGCCGCCCACACCACTCATCGGAAAGCTGCAATGCGAACTCGAAGCGATGGACAACGAACATGATGATGAACTGCACGAAAGTGCAATCATTTCACTGGCCCAGAATTGAGAATCCATTGAGCAAGACAGAAGGGAGTCAAGGTTGACAGAAGAGATACATGGTTCCGAGCGGGCTTCGCCGCAGTGCAAATGCAATGCTTGGGATCAACTTGGAAAGTCTGAATTCTTGGACATGGAACTCTTTTCACAAATCCTTTAAAATCGGCTTATCGGCTCTGACGCTCGACACGGTCCATGCCAGCGGACTTCGGTTTGCAGCAAGGCCCCGCGGTCATGGGGATGGATCCGCTAATGCAGCACGGCTGTCTCGCACCCTTTGCCTGAGGACTTACGGTCAATATGTCAGTCAGTACGTCCGTGTCATACTATGCGATGAGATTTCTGCACGTGCGTGTGGACAATTAGGTGAACTACACACATACACCAAACCGACAAACAAAGGTATGTGCGAGAGCCCATTCCTACGGACGGAGCCTCCGCAATCTCCAGGTATGCATTGCGATCGTTGGTGTTGTAGTAGCCTCGGAGCGTCGCTGGAAGGATCGGATGGTTTCTGGGGAGCTCTAGGGCCTCTTCCACCGCCTTGCTAGACTCCAGCAAAACCATAGGCTCCAAAGGTGGGATGGAGGTAGGTGGGATATTTCCAATTAAGAGTCCTTATATCAGTTATATAAGGGATCCTACCTTTTGAAGCCTCTCAAACCCCACCCAAAACACCGCCAGAGTGCCGGCGGTCAGTTCGGCAGCGTGCGACGAAGAGTTGTGCCACCAGTGGAGGCCGGAAATCTTCGCCGAGAGCTTCACCTCAGGGCAGTGTAGTATACTATGGTATACTATATTGTTTGATAGTATTATTAAACTATAGTATCGCAATTTTGTTATAGTATAGTAGATTATATTCGCCGAGAGCTTCACCTCACGGCAGGATCCGTTTAGATTCTCCTAGATGGTCTGGCCGCAGCCTCTGGAAGTCACGAACAAGGCCCGTATAATTAGAATAGGGTCTTGGGGTATATTATGCTATAGTTATAGTAAGGAACCCCCAAAATAGTATCGGACCCTACATTTTGAGTGTCCGTCTGTGAGCAGGAATGGAACTTGCGCTACTTGCAGAAGCTGCTCCTGAATTACGAAGGCTGTCACTGTCCTTGTGTTTTCCTCCTAAACCTAAGCTCTGAACCCTGCCTAAGCTGAAACCGCAGAACCCTTCGGTAGAGCTCTTTTAAAGTGCTCATAGAATCCGCACAGAGTTGTAGAACCCATCTCAAAGCTTCATAGAACCCGTATACAATTCTAGAAGCCTGATAAGAAACGTCATCGAACCCTTATCGAAACCTGAGAGAACCCTTATAGAAACCGAGTAGTGGCCCTTACGTCGAACTCTCCTCACGGCTCATGGAACCCTTATAAGCACCATATACAGTTCTATATAGAAGTCTGGTAAGAAGCCGTGTAGAATCCTAAACCCACCCAGCCCTAAACCCCTTAAACCCTTCTAAACGAACCTAAACAATAAACCCCACAAGCCCTAAAGCATTGAACCCTAAGCCCCCTAAACCCCCTTACTAAATCCTGATAAAAGCCCTTATAGCAGCCTTGATAGACCCCGTTAAAGGAACCCTATTCATCCTACAAGCCCAGTAAGCCCTTGCAAAAGAAACGCGAAGGTGCTGCCTTCGGACCCAGAGCTTCCCCGGCTTGCCTCGGATACGACGAGCAAACATCGAAAGCAAAGGACACCTTGAAGGACTGTGTCTAGATGAGTACGGTGTTAGGGTTTAGGGAGCATTAGGGTTTAGGGTGGTGTCAGGGTTAGGTGTCAGGGTTTAGGGAGGGACGGTTTAGGGTTTTCGGTTTAGCGGTTTAGGGCACGGAGCATTGTGTTTTGGTGAATATGTAGGACGCCGAAACAACAACGGGCCCCGGTGTTTAGAGTTCAGGGCTCTGGGCTAGTAGATGCTGCTAGGTTTTTACCAAATACCAAGATCTTCTTCAGGAATCGAGGCTTAGACTCGATTTAAAGGTCTTCTTCCCTAGACTTTGGTCTTGCGGGTAAGGTAGGGGGTTCTTACATCACGTGGGGGTTTCGGGGTCTTGTTTGTTGGATTCAAATCTAGGGCATCTTCATTCCGGATACAGCAGCACTATCTGGGCATTTCTTCGTGTGATGGATCCTTTGTTTCTTCATTGACTGAGGATCTTGGGGTTCTGGGCATAGTTGTCTTGTGCCAAGCTGCTTTAGGATGTTGGCCCCGTGCGCTTTCAGCGCGCCGGAGTACCAGTCCAGGAAGAAGCGGCCTTTTACGTGTTGGCTTTAGGGTTCTTTGACTTACGGTTCTGTGCGGGGTTGTGTGGCATGTTCTTAAGGCTAGGAGGGCTTTTGGGCTTTCTTACGGCTTTAAGTGCATTCCGGGGTGGGTTTTTTAGGGCTTTAGCGGGCCGCTTCTTCCGAGGGTCTTGCTGCATCGGGCTGATGAAGTTGAGGGTCAGGCCGACGGCTCCAGAGATGCGCTGGTCTAGGGGTCTTAAGTAAATATTTGGCATGAGGCTTCGTGACATATATAGATATATATTCACAAATTACATCGAAGTCTTGATATTTGGAATAGGGCTTCGAGGAGTATATTACATTAACACTCCCTCCCTTAAAACATCGAGTCCGGCAAGCATGGTGCAACGTGTAAAGCCCAGGCACCACTCGGGGAGGAGTAGCCCTTCCTTGGCGACTTCAAAGCGGCTCGAGCGGCAGGGGCAGCAGTGAGGTCAAAGCACTTATTCTCATCACATGGCTGATCTTCTGCAGTCATGACAGTTTAGGGTTTAAGGTGATTAACATGTATGGTTGCTGACCGAGTACATAGATGCACGCTGCGCGTGGCCCAAACCAGGCATTCGGGGCTTGAAACTTCTGGAGAGAGCCTGTCTGCAGCCCCGGGGCGTGAAGAATTCGGTGTCCTGCACGAATGGACAATCAATACATTGTCTTCGTCATGGCAGCTCAAAATAGACTCCTTGACAACAAGAACCCAGGATAGTATTGGTTTCAAGAATGTTCCTGACCTGGCGGTCTGTTGCAAATTCAGCTGGTGCCTGTTATGAGGGTCCGCCCGAAGATCCCAGTATTTAGTGTCTATTTTGGGCAGCTCGTTAAACTCTCACCCTAAACGGGCTTGTCCTGACTATGATACCCTTCTGCCTAGTCCAGATGCAAGTAGGCCATAAGTAGGAGTATCATCAAGATAACTCCCTTCAGGTCCTAGTACAGCTGCTTATGTTGCGCTACTTACGCTGCTAAACCCCAAGGTCTACACTGCTCTACACCGTTACAGAGAGCCCTCCCAAAAGCCCCTCAAGAATATGCATAGGTCTTGAGCAACTTGTGGTAGAGAACGCTTCTAGAATCCTTATGGCCCGTTGGAGCCCCTTGAAGAACCCCTACAGCAACCCTGCACGATTTCTCTCTAAACGCTAAACCCTAAACCCCCTATATAAACCCCAAAACCCTAAAATAGAACTCTCTCCTTCGGCTGGTCGTTGTAGGTCCCTGCGGTTTCCGGAGGGGTCCCACAGCCGTCGCACCCGGCAGCTTCGGCTGCAAGCCTCCGCTTTCGCTGCTTTGGAGGGCCTAGGGTTTAGGGATCATAAGGTTTAGGGCTTAGGGGTCAGAAGGTTTAGGGTTTTGGAGTTATAAGGCTTAAGGTTGAGGTTTTGGAGTTTTGTGGCTTTCGTCGATTTTTTTGGGGGGTGTCTAGGATTTAGAAAGCGTGTAAACTACTTCGGATACAAGGAAGGCGCTGATATAGGGGCTTAATTCAGTATAAGGGATCTAAGTCGATAAGGAAACTATACTGAACCCTCAACCCAAAACCCCTCAACAATTACCCAATACCTTCTTTGGCATGTTTGAGGAGTCGGGCTGAGGGGACTGAGGGCCTGGCACGTACCTAAGTTACCGCTCTTTTCTACATGGGTGGTTGTCAAAGTTAGGGTCCCTTTTTGGGTCCCTATTATAATACGGCACCTAATATTTAGCGTACCCAAAGGGGCCATAATTTTGACAACTACCCACATGTTTTCCAGGATGCCCAGTAACCTAGGAATAAAAAGGGCTCCCCGTTTGGTGTTGGGTAACTTTAAGGACTACGAACAGAAAAAGGGTACTACTGGGCATCCTAGTTTTCCAGTTTGAAGGCTTTCGCATTGGATTCTAGGCGCTTCAATAAACAGGACTTTACTTTGGGGAAGGGGGGGTGGAGGGGTGGGGGGGAGGGCAGGTTTCGTTCTGGTATGTTCTGGTTCCGCCAACTCGACGTGAAAAAGGAGCTCTGCTTCTGGCCATTTCCATGTCTGCGCCTGGAGATTCGAGGCGGAACATTAGAGTTTAGGGCCTAAAGACGTCATTTAGCCTAAAGCCTCTTCGGGTGCTAAACGATCTACTCAAACCCCTCTCGTCGAGAGCCGTGGGGCTTGGGAAAGGTTGGAGTTTTAGGAGAACACCTCGACAACCCTCTCGAGCCTTAGGCTCTCCAGCGCATGCTTGTCGTGGCATTGAAACTCGCCTGCAGATTGGGCTGTCTAAAACCTGTTTTTGAAGGGGGAAAAGGGGAGGGGGCAACCATTTATCGTTTCTGAGGTCCTGTTGCTTGGGGTTACTAGTTGGGCTGCTCATAGCCGAAATGTACATATGATTCGATGCTCCCAGCAATGCCATGAGGCTCCCAATTTTGTAGTGTCTAGTCTCGAAGTGGATTCAGCAGGAAATCGTACAACCTGCGCCAGAAGCCCACCAGCTTATGCCCTACGTCATCGTCGAGCCCACCTCTTAAAATTGAAACTCCCGCCTAAACCCTACGGTAAACCCTACACCCTTGATCACTGAGCGTGCGGCCGATGCCGGGAAAGCTCCACCGATCCAGCGGATAGGAAGGATACCTGGCCCCAGCGGTCCCTTCTCCATAGCAGGATCACAAAATCTGAGTAATCTGAGGTGATTCCGGGTCACTGAGGGTAGGACTGCGCCAGCTTGGGATGTTTATGATGGGCCTTATCACAATGGCGAAGCTCATGCGACTGACCATGATGGGACTACCGTTGCTAGAGAATACAGGGTAACATCACGACGATCCGTGACAATTGCCGCCATTACCACCGCGATCCAGATCACCACCAGCACTCCGAAAGCTGGCCGTCAGCCCTGTTCATCCCTTACCTTCAGCTCTCCACCTACACTATACTACATTATACTGTACTGTGTTTGTCTATTCTATACCATACTTTAGGACTTTAGTAAACTAGACTTTTCTATGCTCTGTTGTACTATGCTATGTTATACTAATTATACTGCCTATATTGTAGGTACACTGGCCCTAGGATCTCTCTCCCACTGCCTCATCTCGCCGCATGGGCCAAGACCCACCTTTGGCGACAAGCCGAAGGGGATCCAGAATACAATGACGTTTTAGGGTGGAAGGTTGATAGACCACCTGATGAATTCAAGCCCTTTCTGTCAGGACCAAAATATTGGGATTCTCCAAGCCTGGCGGCCCAGCCCTAAGCCCAAACCATTCCAAAATCCTTCTAATCCTCACCTCATGAACAGACGTGTGCTTTCTTTGAGCCTCGTGCCCTGGATCCCGACACCCTGCAGCAGGTGACCTCCCAAATTCGCCCTTGCGTCCCGAAGTCCAGCAATTTTACCCTATGCAGCTGGGATGAGATTCGGGGCAAAAAGAAACCATGTGCAAATCGTTTTCGGGCTCCGAGGAACCCTTCCTCCTTCTTTGAGTACCAGTACTACAGGCCACTGTCAAAAGAGGCAGGCAGCCCTCATAGAACCCCGCACCTTCTGATTAAATGTCCCCTGCAGAAGAAATTTCCCCAAGCCTAACACCAGACCTCGGTGACCCCTTGGAACCCAGCAGCGTAAAGCCGAACCGCTGCAGCAAACAACACAACATGGAACTCCTGATCGCTGCAAGGTGGCCATCACTTCGACGATTGGGTCGCCCAGGTCCTTTTTGGGTAATTTGGGGACGGAGACGAAACTTGTCTCCTTTTTTTGTGAGGGGGCGAGGGGTTTAGAGATCTTGGCTTAGGAGAGTCCCAGTCCAAAGCAACCGCCTTGGGACTGTTTCCCAAGCAAGGGTGCCATGCTCATACTCACAGGAACGCTAGGCATCCTGTCAGGGACAGCACTGACCATGATGATCATCATCACCAGCAGCACGATCGTCTCGGGATTCGGTCCTGGGCGAAGGCCTCTGAGAAGGCTGCAAACCAGTCGCCTGCAGCTTCTGTGCATTGTCGGGAAACTGCCCAACTTGGTGGACATGAACCCACTGACTCTCAACCCAAGTAGGCTCTTCATAAATGTGACCGGGCATAGAGATCGTCAGGGCGAGATGCTCAAGACTGGGACTGGAAGGAGGAAGGAGGTTGGAGCGCACCACTGCTAACACTTCCAGATTGATGGGCTCCGTCGAAACAAGCCGAAACTTGCAAAGGGAAGAACCTCAAGTCCTCAAGCAGCGGCCCAAACATGACAGGTTGCTGTACATCTGAAGCGGTGTCCGCCCATCGACCGGGACGGCATCTGCGAAAAGTGAGATGTACTCCTCACGAATGTGTGCGTTCTTATCCAGGAACGAAGCACGCCATCGCAGTCGCGTGAAGCAATTGCGGCTGTATGCACCTCGACTACGCTTACATGCAGCGGAAGCTGAAGAAGCAGTCCCACTGATTACCCTTTTTCTCGTTGGCAGACAACCCAACCGCAAATGTACTTTTCGCCTTGTATGGCATAACCCCGTTCAGAGCATCCAGAAGGACTGCGCCCAGCATGATGAGTGGAGAGGCCCGTACCCGGAACCGGTCCTGAGTCTCACCTCCCTGAGCATCCTTGTACCAGATGTCGGATTTATCGCGGACAAACTCCTGCGAAAATCCATGCGAGGCAGGGAGGAGGCAGGCCTGTGTCTCGAGGAACTGCGAGTACATGGGAGCTTCATAAAACCAAGGGCCGCAACATAAACCTCAAGTTGGATCTTCGTTATCAGGCTACGTCCAAAAAGAGACACCACTCTTTTGCTAACCGGCCGTTCTGAGACGACAGCATCAAGGGGAAGGCCAAGCGAGGGCACAAGCACCAACAACTCGGTGCCCAAACTACTAGCCATGTTTAGGTTCTAGGGCTCGGGGTTTAGCATGTTAGCCTGCAAGAGGCACACCACAACTACTGCTATCGTCCTGCACTTGCCTGCTCAAGCCCCAAAATAGCCCGCAGCCCCAGTCCTACATGAGTCTCAAGCAGGAGACTGAAGAATTGAGGGATCCTGACACAAGCCCCAGTTAACGGCACCTCTAACTGCAGCTCTGAACCCCTACTCCCAAAACCCTACAATCCCTTACAAGGCTAATATAGGGGTCTTAACAATTCGAAAAGGGTTTTGGGGCCATTATACTATGATTATAGTAAGGAATCCCCAAAATAGTACTGGTAATTATTTAGGGCCCTATAGTAACTACTTCAGCAAAGGCACTGGCAGGGGAATGTAGCAAGCATCGCCTGGTAAGCTTGTGGGTTTGAGGCTATGGGTTCAGGCTTTTGGGTGTTCAAGGCTGGAGGCTTCATGTGCTTAGAGCTTGGGGGTTCTGGGGGAATCGATTCTCGGGCCTAGGGCTTGCGGTCGATTGGTCCAGCGGTGTAGCGTAGAATGATCTTCCCGAGTCTAAACAAGCTGCTAAAGCTCCGGCATAGCCGTTTCGGGTAGAAGTCCAACATGGGCAAGGTGGCGACAGGAACAGCAGCTATAGTTGTAGGTGGTAGGAACCACACTCAGGCCAGCCTCTGCAAAACCTGCCTTGGGCGTTCGGGAAAGTTTTGTAATTTGGTACGACCATATAGGTGGTTGTTAAAGTTATGGTCCCTTTTTGGGTCCTGAATATAATACGGCACCTATTATTTAGGGTACCCAAAAAGGGATCTTAATTTTGACAACTACCCATATCTGCACATCTGCACAGTGCCTGTGGAAGGCAGTATTCGAAGCCGAGGCCTACAGGGCAAGGCGTCAAGGCACCCGAACCCTAAACCCTAAATTCTAAACCCCTAACCCCTAAACCCTAACGCCGAAACTGGAATGCAAACCATCGCCACCCCCAGCCGTAAGTCGTATAGTCCCTGAGCCTCAAGCCCTAGCCCTGCCCTCCAAATCCCACCAACAACCTGCTGTCATGGCACCGATGTTACCACCGCACTGGTGGAAGGAGCCCACCATCTGTACCTTGAGGTTCCTGACCTTGGCCTGTCGGACACTTCTGTAGTGGATTTCAAGGAGAAGTAGTGGATTTCAAGGCTGAAGATACTTTTGACGTCTGCAAAATTCATGACTCTATTCCCAGGAATCCCCATACGGTCAGACTACTACCCAGAGCCCTGTGGTACTCACAGTACATTGGCGTATGGAGGTTGGGTGAGGGGTCCTCGGCCCGGAACTGCTGCGCTTGGAGCTTGGGGCTGCGACCCGTAGCAGCTAGGCTGAACGTAGGCGTCCGCGGATTTTCTTCCCTGCCTCCTTCACAAGCTCCTTGTACGCTTCGAAGGTGTAGTTCATGGCCGTTGGCTCGGTGATGCCCCACCTAGGTCGAGATTGTTGAAGGATGAGTCGGGTTCCTCGCATTCTTCCATTCTTCCAGTCGGCGATGTATGCAAAACCAACTGTTGTCATCGCTCTTGCATCCACAGCTCCAACAAAATCCTGTGCCTCTCTTGCATGTGTGCTCGTGGCAGCCGCGGTGCCACACATCCACCATGAAGCCGTCCTCGAATCTTTGCTAGTTCTGGTTAGGGGCTGTAGGCTGTGCGGCTTGGGTGGTCACCGTGAAGTTATACGGGGTTTAAATCTAAGGCAGTCGGTTCGTGACTCGGGTTTGCGGAGTTACATCATGAGAATAGCACTGCGAACTCGAGTAACCATACACCTGCGCTATATATATATATATATATATATATATATATTTATATATATATATATATACACATATGCACATACATATATCTACCTATCTATGTATCTATCTATGTATGCACGTATGTATGTATGTATGTGTGTATGTATATGTACATGTTCACGTTTATGTTTACAATATATTTATGTGAATATATATCTATATATGACGACCTATCTATCTACCTGTCTTTTTCATTCGTAGGCCGAAGTCTGCTGCCATAACGTACTATAACAGCTCGTATAGGGGCCTTGTTCATTCCAAAAGGGTATGGGGGTATGTGATAATACTATTATAACATGGTAACAGCGCCTGGTACGTGACCGGCGTTTTGTGGCGTAGCTGAAGCAGGCAATGTGCTAAAACCTAGGGCAAACGTGTATTATGACTAAAAAGTTGTGCTAGGAAAGGCGGAGAATCCCTGTGACAGGTCGATCGTTTTAGCGAAAAAGGTGATGGCGCTGCAGTAAAAGCCACTTTTGCGAGCACCGCGCTGCGCAAACTTGGTCTGAGTGGACGTTAATATGGTTGACCCGTGGATGCTCTGCGTCAATGAGATCTGGTCTGAGTGGACGTTAACATGGTTGACCTATGGATGCTCTGCGTCAATAACATGGACCACCCATGGATGGTTTGGGCGACGTGGGTTGTAGCAAGTGCCGAACACACCGGAATTACCGGTGTGCTGGGCATATGACCCTAAGGAAACATGGCTTCGATCAGAACTAGAGCCTGGGCCTGCCTGCGACAGAAGTGCGCAGTTCTGGGACTTACAGGTCGTGGCTGGCCGGAATGAGCCCCCCCCACCCCCCCCCCCCGCCCCAGAAAAGTGAGAGGACGTACAGGACGCACACCAGGCGTTGTCACCTATAACATACCCCCATACCCTTTCCGAACTAATAAGGCCCCTATACGAGCTACTATAGGGGCCTTATGAATTGGAATAGGGTCTTGGGGCCCAATATGCTTTAATCATAAAAAGGAACGCCCAAATTAGCATCGGTAATACTAAGGCCCCTATACTATACCGCCCTTATAGTAGCTAATCCTTATAAACCCCTTTTAAAGGAACCCTAAGAATATGTAATAGTATACGAGCTATGCTGCCAGGTCGCCGCTCCGACCTCCTGGATGCCATCGAAAATCTTCTCCAAATGGTCCTCTTGTGTACCAGGGCACAGATTGGCCATGGGCCAAAAAGTGTTTTAGGGTTTAGGGGCTTACGCTTTGGGGTCTAGGGGTTTATGTTTTAGGGTGCAAGGTCTCAGGGCCACGAAGTGTTGTCTTGGGATGCCTGCCCACGGGCTGTCTTAGCTGCAAGCCTCGAAGAGCGATACTTTATATGACATCCGCAAACCCTCGGAGCCAAAGCCTTCTCACGACCTTTGAAGAAAGACACTCAGAACCCCGAACCTTCCGCTACCCTGTTTATGGTCTTGGGTATGGGAGCTGTCCTGTCCGAACACTCAAGCGGTGTGATGAGGTCCATAGGGGAATCCGACTACACCAGGCTAACCCTTCATCCCATACTACAGCACTTATATACAGAGTAAGATAAGGTTTCGGGGGTGTACTTACAGGGCCCATATGGGAATGTAACTCAAATCTTCTGACCCTCGAGTACGTTCATCCCACTTTCCAAGGTCCGCGAGTTAACACGCTCCTTTCACTACTCAGTTGCTGAGTTCATAAGCCCCCAAAAGTGTACACCTTTAGCTTTAGTGGGGAATATTATGCAAAAAAGTGTAAAGTGTATCCACTCAGCTACTAAGACTAGATCGCAATGAGCTCGGAGACCTGAGGACTCCGACAAGCTCTTGGAGGCTGGTGAGAAGTGCCAGAGAGATGGTGGGCATCCCTCTTTTGTTCTATGACCCGTTGGGAGTTTATGCTTCAAGGATTTAGGCTTTATGCTTTAAGAGTTTAGGGTTGAGGCTTTAAGGGTTTAGGCTGAGTCTTCATGCTGTCATGAACTTTTCTGGTGATTTCGTCTTGGTATTGCTATTCTCTAGTGGCTAAATATGATAGTGATGATCACGAGTAGTGGCACCAAAGCTGCAGCTGAACAATCTCCTGCTGGCTCCAAATCCCGAATTCAGGGCTTAGGGTTTTCAGGGTGTGGGGCTTGGGATTTGGGGTTCGGGGCCTTAGTGTCAGTGTTTGGGGTTTCTTTGTCTAGATGATTTTTGGGGTTCGGATTCAACGCGCAGCAGCCGAACAAACCCCTTTCGTTTCAACACCCTGATGAAACTTTGCCCCAAAGGTCCGGATCTTCGATCTGCCCACTGCTGTTGACAAGCGTGAGCGGCATCATCAGGTAGACCTGATGATAAGCTCAAGACATGTAAACCCCATACCTGCATTATGCTTTGAGGGTGCAAGTTTCAGGGCTCCGTGGCTTTTCATTCTTGCAGGGTTGTGGGGATGTGCCTTGCTGGCTTGCTGCGGATTCGGCTGGGGTTCGACCCTGCCCGCCAAGAACCTATGGAATGATATATGACTATCAGCCAAATCTCGGGATGGTCAGCAGGGGTGAAAACAGATCCGCACCATTCACAAGCGAGAGCTACATGGTTTCCGAGACTGGGTTCTTGTTAGGGGACTTTTTTCTAGTTACCATACCTTTTTGCTATGGATCCCTAGCAGCGTAACTTAAATTGAAAACAAATCCGGGAACAAGAACCCAGAGATGGGAGTCCAACACCGCAGGCAACCTGCGCCGGCCTCGGGCGCATGGGCCTGGTGTGCCGAGGCCACCGCCAGCGAGCTGGACCTTTGGGGCTTAGTAGGGTTCGGGAGTTTAGGGCCTATGGGGTTTTGGTTGTTTTAGGATTTGAGACGTTGGGGTCTTGATTTTGGGACTTGTGGTTGTTGGGCGTAGTAGTAGAGGCCCCCAATGCTGGAGCTTGGGTTCGGAGATGACTTGGAGGTAGGGTCCCTTGAAGTGATAACGGCTGCCAATAGGCAGCTATGGCAGAAGCACATCCAAGGCGTCGTAAGCAAATCTTGCAGGTGCCGCCAAGCCTTTTCCCGATGCTGGTCCTTTAGGTTGGTTGTTGTGTGCGCTGACCAATACAAGCTTAAACTCCGAGAACCTCGTGGCGCATGCGAGACAAGCTTCACGCAGCTCCGCGCTGAATGAAGCTTGTCGACGTAGTATCTGGTGACCCTATCTGGACTCAGCATCAGCCTTTCGGGCAGTCACACGATGCCGCAGGTCGGTGGACAAAACGAGCGAGAAGTGCAAGACAGCTGCAGTCCGTGATGCTTGTGAGAACTTGGAGTTCGCATGGGCCTTGCGATATCTTGCGCCGGGTTTTCTGAAACAAACTCCTACTTGACGACTGAATCAGCCGAGTTGCAGCCAACATGCAAGAAGTCCCAGAAACGCCATGGCTTCGTTCGGGTGACTTGACTCTGATTTACAGGCTCTCGCTAGCTACGAGTTTGCCTGGGCTGCGGCTGGTAGCATCGCTCGGGGCTGCGAAGATTACCAACCGTGACGGGTGTCATGTTTGACGCAACTTCTAATCACAGACTTTGCGAGTTAAGGGCTAGAGATCCGACATGACTTCTATAGCTCTACAGTACCCATGTCTAGTATTATACAATCATGTAATTAGTACCCCTGCAGTACTACATGGTACTCCTTCAGAGGACAATATAGAAGCAATGGATCCGACGCCCCAGGGTTCTCCAATTTGGCGGTTCGGAAACTCTGAGAGCCAAGGGCCGGTGTAACGGCTTGGGCTGATGTCATGTAATGTAGGGGCTTTCATTATTAGAATAGGGTTCCTCTCAAGGGACCTTTTAAAGGGGGAATAAGAGTTGCTATAAGGGAGCTTTTTAAGGCAATCTAAAATAGGGGCCTTAATAATTAGAATAGGGTTTTGGGGGTCATTATACTATACTTTTGAACAAGGAACCCCCCAACATACGTAGTATAGGTAACTATTAACGTCCCTATATTGCACATCACACATCGTAGCATAAATTCGTCATCGTGTGCCTCGGCTGGTTTGTGATAAAAGAAGCAACTAGATAAAGAGTGATAAGTGTATACTGTCATACTTGAAAGATACGATACAATCTATTTTACAAGACCACTTGTCACTGGAATAATCCGATCAGTTCCCTCATTTTTTTCAGCATCTGAACCCTTAAAAGGGTTAGGGGGATGGGGAGTAGGGGGGTTTAATGCCCATGATAAGGGCCTTTTCAAGCCTGTTGAAGGAGATGTACTCCTCTACCCGCCCACTCCTCTTAAGGGTCCCTATGAGTTATGCTCAAGTCGCGCTGTTCGGCACCCGGGATCTCCTGGAGACATCGACATCCGAAGGCCGGGATTGCGAGGGGGCGGCTGACACCCGGATGACGCATATGGGTTTAAAGTACGGGGTGCCGTATTGAGAGTAGCATCAGAACCATACCCAAAGACTCCAAAACTCCTGAATTGTTAGGGATTCTTGTCTAATTTAAGGTATATTCCTGGAATGAAGGGTTTTGGAAGCACTGGGTCAGACAGGGCTCCCTTCACCCTGCAAATCGGGCAGCTACGGAGCAACTTCTGTTTTCCGGCTGCGCAGATCGGAAATCGAGACCCGGAGTGCGGGTAGCGACGTCTTGGGCTCTTTCGTGGCTTCTATACGGTTTAGGGTTCAGGGTTTAGGGTTAAATCCCAGTCAAGCAAGCTCTCGAAACTACGACGGGAATCCAGTGTTTGGTAATTGCCTCTTTTCGGACCCTCTGGCGGCTTGACGGGCATTAGCTGTGCTGTGCGCAGATCCTGGTGCTCACCCGCTGTAAATGCCAGAGACCTTGCAGCAGGATCGGCAAACATTCGGTGGAAGTTCTTCGGAACGGATCGACCATTTTGAAGGTTCAGTTCATGTGCAGCGGTATCGCTGTGTGCAGGTTGGGGTAGGGTGGCCAAAATCGAGCAGGCAGCAGGACTTGAATTGCATCGTTTCAGAGAGCGCGAGAAAGCAATTCCTTCTTATTCAATTCTGTGTCCCTGCCCGACGGCTTTTGATGCAACAAAGAAACCATGATTCTCTATACTCCTTCCAAAACCACTATTGCATTCTTTTTTATTTGGCTTCACTGAGCAAGCCCCGCTCAAACCTACATCCGAAGCCCTAAACCCTAAACCCTACACTCCTCAACCCTCAGCCCCTAAACCCTAAGCCTTAGACTCCTACGTAAACCCTAAACCCGCAGCCCCTAAACCCGAAGCCCTAAGCCCTGACCCCCTGCAGTTCCTACCATACGCTGGTCTACCACGAAATGCTAGTCTAGCTCTACAGGCAGCCCCCAAAGCCACGCACAGACCCCTGAGCTCGAAAAAAAAACACACCGAGCTGGGGCCTTTATTAGGGTTCTTTTAAAGGGATCTATAAGGGTTACTATAAGGGGTCTATAAGGGTACTATAGTAATGAAGGAACCTGATTAAGAAACCTTGGGCCTGTAATAGGGGTCCTTATAAGAATCCTGCTATTCTGGGGGGTTATAGGGCCAGGGATTCTTAATCAGGTTCCTACATAAAGGGGAGGTGGCCTCGGTCTTGATCTTCTTCCCCACCTCAGGAGGTAAGGAGCTGAAAGTGAGTTTCTTCGGGGGCTTCGCGTGAAGAAAAGTACGCAAACTGTTGAGTCTCATCATCTCATCGTTGGTTTCATTGCTTTTCTGCCCCACACGGTCATCGGCTGCCAGTCAAATTGGGCGACACTGTCTTCGAACTGCGCCCGTCCAGCTCTGTATGCTTCTAGCACAAGCCGCTTCGTGGAGGCTTGGTGAGGGTAAAGAAGGGTTTGGTAGCTCCGGGGCTTTTTCATTACATGGCGAAGGATACTCCCCAACGATTCCTACGTCTGATGCCTTGTGCTTGAAACCAGACCCGGCTTCTTTTTCGCCCGCCAACGATACCGCCAGCAGAAGCAGGCAACAGCAGAAGCAGCATCGGGACATGCGGCTTCGCTGCGAGACGCCACATTTGCTGGCATTTGGTCTTCTGGGCCAGGGGTTCTTACATTCGCTGAGGTTCCACCGGAGTTAGAGCCACTTAGAACCAGCTTGGCACCGCATGCTACCAGAATCCGGGGCAAGTGCGACTCTCGAGACGAATTGTTCCGGAATCGGCATCTCGATGATGTCGCCGTCCTGCCATGGTTTAGGGTTTAGGGTTTGGCTGCAGGTTGAATGCCGCGAAGCGTGCAATGCAAGGAACTCACACTGCGGCTGCTTTTTCCGTCATTTGATACCAAAACTGCATTGTAGGAAAACGGCTCGACTGCCTATGGCACGCACTGAAAACTGAGAATGAATACAAGACACGACTTCGTGGTCTTTGTTCGGGCTGGCGAATTCCAGAGCATGCCTCTTGGAGGATGCGGAAAACTGTCGAAGGGATCCCCAGCAATTGGTGCGTTTTCGGGATGCTTATGATCCCCAACGCCCCAAATACTAGGATCCTGATTACAGAGACACCGAAATGGAGTCCTAATTTTCTGACACCCCCGCATGCCTACGCGCAGCAAGTGACGGGCTGCAAGAGGAGAGCGCTCAGTTTCAGCATTGGGCTTCCCATGCTTTCCATACCTTCCCGGTACCTGCATCTGCAAGGCCCCAGCGAATTAGCCGGCCCACTTCTCCCATTTGCTGCAAACTGTCCATGGCATGCCAGGATGCAAGAAGCCCGGACTTCGGGTCGAAAATCAGAGATTGCAGCTCGGTGTTGAACTGGTCGATATTTGTGCTGCTGTTGATCTTGTTGAGTATACGTGCCTTGTCCGTCTCGCAAGATGCACGCATGCAGCGAACGTCTAGGTTTTCTAGACTGCATGCACACTTCAAAATTGTCTCCTTGGACGCAAGCTTTAACGACTGCTTCATTTGCAGACGGCTGGCCTCCGCAATTTCGGCGACACACCAGGCGCGATTGAATAGATCAAGAGATTGATCCACTGCAATTACCTGCCTGCAACCTCCAGTTGCTGCAAGGTGATACATCATGTCATCGAACTTGTTGATCTCTGAAAGGGCATTTCGTCCATCTAGATCTCGGACGTTCGTGCTGCTGCAGCTGCACACTGGATGCAGCTCATCCGTAAGAGGATCACGGTCGTAGTAATTGGTGTGGCATATAGTGATATGCTGGTTCACTGCAAATGCACAAAGCCAGTACGTGTCATCCAAGCGACCACTCTGAGCCAACATCTCATACAGGAGGACGCTGTCTTTCTCCAGCAACTTTGCTGCCAGGTTAAAGCTGCACTCCTTAAGAGCATCCGAGATCACAGCTGCCAGCAAGTCCTTAAAAGAGTTGCCCCAATTGTGGGTCACCATAACACCGGCCCTTTGAGGACCGTCCTTGTTCAGACTTGAGACTGCGTAGGCGCATTCTTCCTCTGAGGTGAGGGGGATGATCGCCCGGCGGACCACGTCCCTGGTCTTGTGCACGCTAGGCACATACTTCCAGTCCACGTCAGGAAGCTGGTCTTGGTAGAAGTGAAGTAGGCTACGCAAGGTCATGCCCCGCAATGAGAGCTCTTCGACTTTCGCCAGCCAGCTAGGGCTCCACTCGTCTTTGGAAGGCTCTGTCCCCTGAGGAGACCCGGGCGCCGTGGCCTTGGGCTGCTCGGGGCATAGCCAGGCACAGCGTCTGCCGTGGCCCTGCATCTCGACCTTTGGCAGGCGATGGCTGCCAGAGAGAAAGAGCACGGCGGCCGCGTTCCCAAGGAAATAGAGTGCCTACTTGTCGGGTATCAACGGGAACTAAAGGTTAACCTTTTTGGTTATATAGGGATTATATAGGGACTATACTACTCCAAAAAGGTTAAAGGTTACCTACTCGACTACTGGGAGTGCCTGCACGAGGAAGATGATCCAGATCAGCTCAACCTGGAGCTGGATGTCCCTGTAGCCCAAGATGGCTGCTGGAACTACCAAGATCGTGAAAACGATGCGGAAGCTTACGCCCATCACTTGCAAGGCAGCAAACCTTCGAGCTTGTCGTAAAGCGGACAAGGCAGCAAGGGGAGTGTCTTTGAGCTCTGCCGCGTGCAAGACCCTTCTCATCTCCAGGAAGCACTGGATCAAAGAGCAGATTGCCACGAAGCTTGCTGCCACGTTGCAGGACATGGTCAGGGAAGCTCCCCAGATGATGATGTGTAACACCCCATCCGAAGTCCAAGACATCCCTGCAGCAAAGACGCAAAAAGCCGAGATTGCAATCACCGTGGCACAGGCTGCCTGTTGCACAGAGATGAGCTTCCGCATGCATCCGCTACGGAACTTCCGATGCGAGGACTTCTCCAGGAGCTCGAGTCTCGAAGCAATGAGCAGCTGGATCCAGAAGGAGCCCGTGACATAGAGCCCCAGCCTGCTTAATACGA